AATTAGCATAGAGGCTTATGAAAATATCTCACTTTGGGGAGGGGCGGGGGCGCAGCCGGGAAACAAACGCAGAAGACCTGCATTATTTGCTTAAAATACGGTACATATCGGGGAATATTTCTAGCTGAAACAGTTAGTTTTAAATATTATTTAATTTTGTTTAGTCTTTAGCAATGCTCATACCACCTACAACTACATGTTCAATTCCTTATTTCTCATTCCCACCCTCCGACCAATCACAAGTGGCCAAGAACACTAAAGTAGAGAATTATTACAGCTGAATTTATAGAATAAATTGTGCAATCTCAGCTTAGAAAGGCAGTAAGTATGGAATCTGAGTAATAGTCAAAGCTTGTTCACAGAATCTATAATTGCAACTGTTACCTGTGACATTCTTTGCTAGGTTATGCAGCTCATTTGGTGTGATCCATATGCCAGGCATGTTGCAAGGCCACCTGTGTTGTCAGCCTCCTAGCACACACACCACTGACATTTCTCACATTCTCATGGATTGCTAAACTCCTAACTTCATAGTCCCTGCCTTTCCTTTCTCATTCAGATCTATAGTGGAAGCTCCTGTGCCAAAAAGGCAGATTATCATCAATGACATTTGTATTTACCAAACGGAGGGCAAGAGAATATTTTCACAGGAAATAAAAGCCAATGTTTCCTTCCAATGCCTTTGAAAACTCTTCTTTCATAATTTGAAGGCTCTGGCTTTACTAGCTTTTTAACACCAGCAAATTGAAAGGAGGGGAAGATGCAGGTAAAAGTGTCACAAGATCAAGGTAGGGGAATTCTCTGTAGAAAGATCTGACTATGTGCTTAGCGAGCATCTTGTTGTTGTGATCCCAGAGTTGATGAAATCCTAAGCCGTCATGGATTGAATTGCGTCCCCCAAAAATATCTGTCAACTTGGCTGGGTCGTGATTCCCAGTATTGTATAACTGTGTACCATTTTGTAATCTGATGTGATTTCCTTATGCGTTGTAAATTCAATCACTAAGAGCTAATAAAAGATAGACTAGCAGCAGTTATACTGATGAGGTCTACAAGACTGGATAGCATCTTAAGCCAATCTCTTTTGAGATATAAAAGAGAGAAGTGAGTAAAGACACACAGGAACCTCATACTACCACAAAAGCAGTGCCAGGAGCAAAGTGCATCCTTTGGACCTGAGGTTCCTGCGCACAGAAGCTCCCAGACCAAGGGAAGATTGATGACATGGACCTTCCTCCAGAGCTGAGGGAGAAAGCGTTCCCCTGGACCTGATCCCCTGAATTTGGACTTGTAGCCTAAAGGACTGTGAGAGAATAAACTTCTCTATGTTAAAACCATCCTCTTGTGGTATTTCTGTTAGAGCAGCACTAAATGACTAAGACACAAGCTGTGGAAGAGCTTTCTTATCCAACAATGTTGGAATATTGACACTTTTAGATTTGTACGTTTTAACACACATTTAATATTATTATTACTCCTATATTATATTATTTGTAATCGTAAGAGTAAAAATAGTAATGATTTGGGAAGTTGTGATAAATTACATCTGAAAATTCCTGTCAGACTTGTCATACATGTTTCTTACCATGTAGGAGAAGACATATTTTTGGTACAGTGATGAAAACATCAAAGGGACTTGATAGTTTCTGTTAATATAATGAGAATTGGCTCACACGATGCAAGGTGGTTTTGAATAGCCTTTCTCCTATTCTGCTTTTCCAAATATCTTGGTGGACGTTTCTACTGAAACCACACCACCGTGTGAGGAGCCTCAAAAAAAGACCTAATCGTGCCCCCATCCTGAAGAAGCTTGGCTGTGGAGCTGTGTGAGCAGTCTCCGCTCTCAGTGTTACCTTGATGGACGCAACAGGATCCCATGGAAGTTTCACTGCCTGAAGGTTGTTGTTGGGTGCTGTGAGTTGATTCCAACTCATAGCGACCCCATGTGACAAAGCAGAACTGCCGCATAGGTCGTTCTTGGCTGTAATCTTTTCCAAAGCAAATTGCCAGGTCTTTCTCCTGTGGAGCCACTGGGTGGGTTCCAACTGCCAATCTTTCAGTTAGCAGCGGAGTGTCTAATCATTGCGCCACCAGAACTCCTTCTGCATGAGGGCAAGCTCATTTAAATCAGGGCCAGTAGACTATGGAGCATAGGCCAGATTGGACAGTGCTTGTTTTTATAAATAAAGTTTATCGGAACACAGCCATGTCCATTTGTTTACATGTTTCCTATGGCTGCTTTCTCATTACAATGGCACAGCTGAATGGTTGCTGAGTGGTCACAACAGAGTTACAACAGCAGCCTGCAAATGCCCATATGTTTACTATCTGGTCCTTTACAGACATAGTTTGCAGACCCCTGGTTTAAATCCTTCCCACCCCACAGTTAGATCACTTTTGGAGAGTAAAGTTAGAGAATAAAGAGGAAACTAGGAAATGCCACTCACTGAAAAAAACGAAAACAAAACCAAAAACAAATCCATTGTCGTCGAGTCGATTCCGACTCATAGCGACCCTACGGAACAGAGTAGAACTGCCCCATAGAGTTTCTAAGGAGCAGCTGGTGGATTCAAACTGCTGACCTTTTGGCTAGTCGCCAAGCTCTTAACCACTGCGCCACCAGGGCTCCCCACTCACTGAAGTTGATTATATATTAACTTAATAAGATATAAAGACAGAAGTAGATGACATACACTCCTGATATTCTAGATTGTTATTAATTGTGAAAATTTTAAGGGGAGTAACTAACATTCAAGGAGCCCTGTGGCGCAGTAGTTAAGCTCTCGGCTGCTAACCGAGAAGTCGGTGGTTCAAACCCACCAGCTGTTCTAGGGGAGAAAGATGCGGCACTCTGCTTCTGTAAACCCTATAGGGCAATCGAACTCTGTCCTACAGGGTCACCTGAGTTGGAATCTACTTGACGGCAATGGGTTTGGTTTTGTTTAACTAACATTCATTGAGAATCCACCACATCCTGGATACTGTGTTAGAAACATTCTGTAAGGAAGGTCATCTTAATGACTTATGTTAAGGAAATTTAGGCTTTCCTGGAGATGAAGCCTTAGGGAAAAACAAAAAAACAAAACAAAACAAAACAAAAAAACAAGTAAATAAACAGATACCCTAAGTGCTCAAGTGTCCTGGTCCCAAACACTGATGGGACAGCTGCTCCAGGATAGCCATTTACTGCTAGTTAGTACTCAGACACAAAAGGCTGTTAAACTTAGCCTACCTGGTGGACAGGCATTTTTCCCTACTGTGCAAGGCCAAGGTCAGATGCCACTGGAGGCATTTGGTGTCGTTTTCTTATGTATACTGTAAATGGAGAATAAAATAGAAGGAGGCAGGAACGTGCACACACTCAATCAGCAAATTAATGACCGCAATGGAGTGCACATTATCTATGTTTGTGGACATTATGTTTGTAGACATTATCTATGTTCGTGACAATTATTATTTTTTTCTAAATGGTGACTAAAAAGTCATATACTTTGAGTCAAAATGGATTATAGAGTTAATCTAGTCCCAATTTCTTGAACTGCATTTGAAGAAAAAGAAACACATGTATGGTCAACGATCTGTCTAAGAATACTGGTATTTGGGAACAGAGCCAGGGCTGCCACGTGATCTTCTAAGTCCCTGCCCAATGCCTTTTTTTCACCAAATTATGTTCTCTGGGTTACTTTTTCATTCTTGTTCTCAGGTTGATCAGAAAGTACACTTGACATCATCATGGTGTTCACGGGTTACTAACGAGACATCTCGTTTTTCGTCAAAGTTGCTGGGAATTATTCAGCCTAATTTGTTTTTTTCCCATGCACTCATACATTTTTGTATCCTTTCACTTTCAACATACGCCTTCTCAAGAATGTATCTATTCTTTCTGGGCCCGCCTGTCTCTGTAAATTCAGTCCTCTCTTGCAGCAACGCTGCCTCTCTTGACTTTCCTCTCTGAGTCTGACTACTTTCTAGCTGAGCCCCTCATTCTTGGATTCTGGATCGCTTTTGAAACAGGGAGCAACACTCTACGCTTTCTTGGCAGACATCACCCTCCCTTTCAAAGAAGAAAGTCAAGTAGAATGTCTGTGGAAATAAAGAACATAAAATGGAATTGACAGAGCAAGCAAAATAGTAAGGAAATAAGGTTTTGCTGCAAAAGAAAGAAAAAGTACTAAAGGAAAGGGGAATAAAATGGTCTGGCAACACTATTTCTCTTTTCTATTCATTGTGGGGAATGGGGAGGGGGTAAACGACTGAGGAGAGGAGATTTTATTTGCCAGTGCCTTCTCCCTGCTAGCTATCCCTCAAGCTGAGCCAAAACCTGCCTGCCCCATCCCTAATCTGCTGCTTTTAATCACATAAAGTAATAAAGCCCGTTATGAATCTCTCTATTCTACTCTCAACTCAACTACAACGTTAGCACAGTAATAACTAGTGTCAGTTATAGCCGCATAATCATTTGCAGTGCCTAGGCACCCTTTTGCTTATTTAATGCCCTCTGGCTTCAGGCCTGAGAGCCATCCCCCTCAGAGTCTCTTATTTTTATGCAGGGACCCATTTTTGCAGGCTAAGCACGTCCCCATTGGAAGATAAATAATGCTAAGGTTGCCCTGTGGTGGGGATGACGTATGAGAGATTTGCTTCTTTATAAAGCATATTGTTAAGAATATCCGTGCTCTGATCACTTAGAAAAACCAAGATGACATAGTCTAAGGCTCCATTTGGCTGGCCCAGCTAGTGAACCTGGAAATGGGACCAAAGTAAGACCTTTTCCATGATGTCCCCAAAGGAGACAGAGGTGACAGGAAATGCCAGATGGTGTCACATGTGCTCCTCTCCTATTTCCTTAGCCACACCACAGATGAAATATGGTCAGAGGAATCCATAAACACGTCAGGGCCCAGAAACCAAATGGTTACACCCAACCCACTTTATTTATTTTTCAAAGCTCTCTTAGTAGAAAACAAAACAAAACTTTTTTCAGCATTGTCCCCAATTACCTGTTGATGCTGTTTTTCTGTGCTAACATCTGCCAGTCCTTGCCTTTGGCATTAGGGGTATCAAATGTAGCACAAATTCGTTGTCTGATGGAGTAGGGAATTTTGAAGGCTTTGGGGCCAGTCTGTGCAGGGAAAGTGCTGTCCTCTTGTGCAAAGAAAGTGATGGTTTCTCTTTCACTCTATAAACAACATAAGAAAAGTATGATCAGATACAACTGAAAAATCCGTGTTAACACACAATGCACAAAAGGCTTGCCTATGGTGATAGACTCTACAAAATACATTGACAAGTTCCCCTCCCTTCTAAAATAGTAAAGAACTTTTCCAGTAGCCTAGTAAATCGTGTGGCCTCTTTGACTCAGGGGAGTCACAATCACCAGTTTCCAACATCCAAAGCGCTGTCAGGTAAGAACAGGCTTAGCTTTTTCCTGTTTGGCTCTCAGGGATAGATCTAGAATCAGTAGGAAGAAGCCAGCGAATGACAGAATGACAGATTTCAGTCCGGTGCAACGAATGACTCTGGTAGTCAGAAGTGACCAGAGATGAATGAGTTTGATCCAAGGAGTTGGCTGGGAAGCCACATGGCCCGAGAGCTGTAAAAGAGAACTGCCTGTATGTTGACCATCTTAATTTTTTTTTTTCTTTCTTTTCTTCAGTTCTAAAGTTGTATGATTCTATAGTAAATGTTTTGGTCTTGTTTCAGAATTAAATTGTTTTCATAAAGCAGAGCAAGCCAGGAGACAGAGACAGCATCTAGACTAGCCTGGGGACTTACACAGGCTGAAAAACTTCTGCCTGCCATGGCTTCTGCCTGCCATCTGCTCACCTGCTTCGAGTTTACACCTGTCCAATGAGGTTTAGCCATTTCAGTACATCATAGCAATTAGCATCACATCAACACGAAATCCAACAGAAATTGGTCAGATTGGAGCAGCAAACCTTGCTGGTAAATTTATGTCGACTAACAGAACTTTGGTGCAGTGGTTAAGAGTTCGGATGCTAACCAAAAGGCAGCAATTCGAATCCACCAGCTGCTCCTTGAAACCCTATGCGGCAGTTCTACTCTGTCCTATGGGATTGCTATGAGTTGGAATTGACTCGAAGGCAACAGATTTGGTTAACAGAATTTTAAGGCCTTAAAATATGTAATTGAATCACTTTCATGATTATGATATATTATACAGAAGAAGGGATTTTTCAGATGTACTTAAGGTCCCTAATCAGTGGATTCTGAATTAATCAAAAGGGAGATTATGTTAGGAGGGGCCAGACCTAATCAGGTGATCCCATAAAAGAAACAAGAGGCAGCTCTTGTCCGAAGGAAACTCTTTTGCTGGCCTTGAAGAAAGCAAAAAGCCATGTTGTGAACCGCCTGTGAAGGGAGCCACGTGGTTAGGACGTGAGCCTCTAGTTGCTGACAGTGACTACTGGCTAATAGACAGCAAGAAAACTGGGACATAAAACCTATAGCTACAAGGAACTGAATTCTTCCAAAAACCTGGAAAAATCATCTCAAGATGAGACCAGAGCCCCAGTCAACATCACTTTGATTTCAGTCTTGTGAGACCCTAAGCAGAGAACCCAGCTGTGCCATGCCTAAAGTTCTGATCTACAGAACTGTAAGATAATAAATGGATGTTGTTGTAAGTTGCTAAATTTGGTAATTTGCTGGCAGCAATAGAAGAGTAATATTGTTGCTGTTGTTGTTAAGTGCTGTGGAGTCAGTTTCGACTCACAGCGACGCTATGTACAACAGAACGAGACACTGCCTGGTCCTGTGCCATCCTCATGTTGCTATGTCTGAGCCCATTGTTGCAGCCACTGTGTCAATGCATCTCGTTGAGGGTCTTCCTCTTTTTCCCTGACCCTCCACTTTACCAAGCATGATGACCTTCTCCAGGGACTGGTCCCTCCTGATAACACGTCCAAAATATGTGATGCAAGGTCTTGCCATCCTTGCTTCTGAGAAGCATTTTGGCTGTACTTCTTCCAAGACAGATTTATTTGTTCTTCTGGTAGTCCGTGGTATATCCAATATTCTTCGCCAACACCATAATTCAAAGGCATCAATTCTTCTTCGGTCTTCTGTATTCATCGTCCAGCTTTCACATGCATATGAGGCGATTGAAAATATCATGGCTTGGGTCAGGCACATCTTAGTCTTCAAGGTGACATCTTTGTTTTTCAACACTTTAAAGAGGTCTTTTGCAGCCGATCTGCCCAAAGCAATGCATCTTTTGATTTCCTGACTGCTGCTTCCATGGGCATTGATCGTGGATCCAAGTAAAAGGACATCCTTGACAACCTCAGTCTTCAAAGTCATAGAAAGGGAAACTGAAGCATCCAATCTGAGATTGGGTTAGGGAGCTAGTTAGGACTGTTTTAACTCCAAGAAACTCTTCTTCACTTCAGGAATGGGAATTCTCTGTCTTCCTTCAAGTCAACACATGTCTTCTCTGAACTATTTTCCTTCACTGATCCACTCCTTAATATTTCTTCTGACCTTTAAATGCAGACATCCCAACCATGGCAGGTCTTCTTAGGCAGTATCCCAGGTTCATACAGCTATAAATCATCAGACTTGGTGCATCGTACTTTTGAAAAGTTGCTAATTGAGGAAATTCATTCACACAGAGATTTTATTAATGAGTGACAATGCTTTTTGTCTGTGACATAGCTGAAACTAGAATTCTGATATCCTGATTCCTAAACTAGTACTCATTTCACTATACCACCCTGCTTCAGGACAAGTACAAAGAAATCCAGAGTAGGGTGATGAAGAGAAACACTCTCAGAGTGATATAAGCATTATGTTTCAGGAATCTGAAGTAGGAAAAGCTTCACGGAGGAGGCATTTGAGTTGGCGTCAAAGGATGTGTGAGCATTGGGCACTGACTAAATAGAATTTGAATGGATACGTGGTCATTGCAGGCAGAGTGGACAATTTTGTTTCCATATATTAGATGGCGATAAAATAAACCAACTCAGGCTTACTACTGCATAAAGCAGATTACAAGATACATCATGTTTTATCATGATTTGTGAAATTTCTTCTAGGCTCGAAAAATGCAAATAAAGTTAGAATAGCTTTCTTGAATATTTCCTGACTTGAGAGTATGTTAGAAACTGGGGGGTGGGGGGCAGAATTCTATCCAAGTTAACATGGTAGCTGTCATTATAAAATAGCACCCAAGGGTGTTAACCAGAGCAAAGGTGTCTTGCCAATGACACTGAAGACAGAGTGTTCATGCTAAAGGATCACACTAGACAGACGATTGGCTCTTGAAAGCCCTCATGGCACCTGTGAACTGTCAGCTAAACCCTGTCTTTACCGTTGGCAGAAGAAAGACCACCTGATGCAAGCCATTTTCAGAAAAAACTGGACAATGTGGTCTTAGCTGAAGGTGAATAAAATTTTATGTGAGGCTGAGTCTAAAAAGAAGTATTTTTTTCTATTTACTACATTTTAATGTGGGCACCCATTTCACCGTATGAGTATCCAAATTTAAATTATTTCCATGCTCAAGGATGACACTTTATGTAACATTTATGATGCATTCTAAAAGACATCTGGGCCAAGTAATAAGAATCCAGTAGATACATCACATTTTCTGATTGTTTAAATTAAATATGCAGAAGAACAGTAGATTTTCATGCTCTGCACTTCTGAGATAAGTGACTGCTACCTGGTTAGCTTAGGGAGTTGTAAATCAATGAGAAATTCCAAGTTTTTTGTCTGTTCTATAACAGGCAAATTATCCCCCAACTTCCAGAACTTTTGGAAGATAAGAGAATTGCTTGAAGGGAAAATTGTAACATGTAAGATTCTCATTTAAGTGGCTTTCATTGGAAAAAACAAAAAAATAAAAAAAGTTCTCAATAATATTACATTAATAAGAAATGATGAAAAATTTCTTAGGGAATATTCCCTTCTCTTCAGTATTAACAAACTTGTTTGTTCATATCTACAATTTTTAGACTGGCCTTACTGTTGCTTTACAGAATATCGACTGGCAATAAACACAGTGAAATTCAGTTGGGTTAAATTAAAGGGGGACCAACCTACGTTTATAGATTCACATAATAATGATCACTGTAAAGAACAAGGAAGGATTTATTACCTTTGCCACTGAAATAATTTTTATGTGTGAGGATGAGATGAAGGATTGTATTTATTTGAAAAAGCATTTACATTAGAGGCATAAAGAAACGTGACGGTGTGATGAGGAACATAAAGGATAAAATGCTTTCAGTGAGGACGGTCACTACATTGATGTAGATATTTAAAAGTCAGTATTGTACTATGTTAAAATATATATACAGAGAGAGAGACCTAATACCTCTTATGGTTTGGTCATTAAACTTATGAACAAGTGACACTAAGACAACCCATTAAAGTAAATATAAATAGTGGGACCTCTGAGGCTAAACATGCAGGGATTTCTTTTCTTTCTTGGGGGAAGAGATTAAAAAATTTTAAAAAGAAAGTAAAAGAGAAACTTTTCAAAGATACCTCTTGAAAGCTTCAAAATGTTTTATTCCATTTTATTATTACTGTTGCTGTTTAGCTTTATTAACACAACTCTTAATAACTTCTTCAAACTACCTAACTGCAGCTTTTCCAGCCTACTAGCCATGAAGTATGATGTACTTTAATAACTGAATTATCATCCCTAACTCATTGATTGATATAGACCTCCCTGTAGAATTTATCCTGCCTCCTCCCCAAGTAATCTCAATTTTTCAATTTTTCAGAGCTATCTGTATCTTCACTTTTGATTAAACCATATGCCACGCAAAACAAACAAACAAACAAAAACAACAAAACAGCCAAGTAATTTTAGGGTGAAGAGGACAATTTGTATTCACTAGATGTATTACCGGGTATATGCTTTTCCCTGGAGTCATTCAATCAAGACATCCATTGGCAGGCACGTCTACATGCAGGAGAATTATTCTATTCTTGAAGATCTTTAGAACGGACCCTTGTTCTAGTCCATCACACAACTGGTTACATTCAATTCTTTTGTAGTAAAATTTCCCAATTTTCAAATACTTCCATGTACTTTAAGACTAAATTATTGCTACTTTGATGTTGGCCACTTATGCCTGAGCCCCCAAAGAGAAGACATCCATTATGGACAAGGCCCACACAGTTTAGATTTTGATAAATTAAACAGTCTTGATTGGCATCCTGAAGCAGTGTAGTATGATAGTCAACATTTGAAACCAGGTGTCTTACTAGCTTTATGACCTTAGGCAAGAAGGTTTACGTCTTTGAGAATCTCGTATCATGTAAAATTGTGATAGTGATAATACTTAATTCACAGAGTTGTGATGGTTAAAGGACAAATGTGAAAACACATGGGACAGTGCTTAAAATACAGTAGCTTTCAGAAGTTATTAGTTTTCATCTGACATAGAAACTATTAACAAATTAGACTTAAAGTTTAAGAAATAGTTTATTACAAAGCAATAGAGACACACTGGGCCAAATTCCTGCGATAACATGCAAAGCAATTAATAAAGTCATCCTTGACAGGATCAAAAGGGTTACTGAAGCTTCTAAAATGCAGTAGGCTATAAATTTCATGACTGTAGCCCAAGACTGAATATCTAAATATTACTCGGATACTTGCCCCTATTATCAAGAAATACGATGATGCCATCTGCTAGGCATTTCAAAGTGACTGTAAACTTGTGAAACATTAGAAAAGGAATTGAAAGGTAAGGAATAAGATAAGGATAAGAAAAAAGAAAAGAAATTAAAACCTGGAATTCTTTTGTTGCCCTGTTAACCATTCAGGGCAATTTGCATCAGAGGCAAACAACCTCTTTTTCGGATCTGCCTTTTCACACTTGCTTCTGAATACTAGCTCCTCTTGGATTTTTCTCTTGTTTTGATTTTAAAACATTTCTACAAATTTTATTTTACTTTAAAATGCATTGTGTTAAATATGCAATGACTATTCAAGAAGGAGGCTCCAAAAATACCCTACCCTAGGTTTCCTGATCTACCTTCACTATCAAAACCATTTTAGCACGTAATGCAAACTGGCATTAATGAATGCAAATACTGTATAAACATGCCAGTTAAGACAGCTATCAATTTTGAGGCATGATACTTTGGAAAGTCATACACTCTTTAGAAAAACTATTTGGGGAATTAGCAATGGCACATTAGGAATTTGCATAAACAATGAATTGAAATGAGAATGGCAAGAAGTGATAATTTTATAAGGCTTCAAGGTTTCAAAAAAAGAAATCAACCTGAAATGGAGTTGTATGTATACAAATGTGTTAAGCCTTCTGCCAAGACTAAATTCTTTATATGTATAACCAAAAAAAAAGTTGCTATCGAGTCAATTCCAATTCACAGAGATCTCATTTGTTGAAGAGTAGAACTGCACTCCATAGGGTTTTCAATGGCCGTGATCTTTCAAAAGCAGATGACCAGGCCTTTCTTCCAAGGTGCCTATGGGTGGACTTGGACCACCAACCTTTTGGTTAGTAGTCTGGTGCTTAACTGTTTATGCCACCCAGGGACTCCTACATACATGTGTGTGTGTGTGTGCATATGTATATGAGTGTGTGTGTATCCCTATCCTACAGCTGAACGATAAAATATGTGTTTTTCCTACACTAAGAGCTCGGCTGCTAACCCAAAGGTCAGCAGTTTGAATCTACCAGCTGCTCCTTGGAAACTCTGTGGGGCAATGGCAAGGGGTTTAGAGATCTGGTGGTGCAATGATTAAGTGCTCTGTGCTAACCGAAGGGTCAGCGGTTCGAACTCACCCAGCTGCTTCATGGGAGAAAGATGTGGCCGTCTGCTCCGGTAAAAATTATAGCCTAGACAACCCTAAGGGGAAGTCCTGCTCTGTCCCATAGGTCTTTTATGGGTCGGAATCGATTCCATGGCAACAGTTGTTTTGTTTTTTTAGCCAGGAATTATCTCAAAATTACTAAATAAAAACATTACACTCCCCCCCCCACTTAACTCTACCCTTCTGCTACTCTCTCCCTTTACCTTCAAATAACCAGTGAGAAAGGATTGCCATTGTCCTTTTGTCCGCTCTATAAACTCAAGTTCAGAGCCAGGCAGTCATTTAGTGGTTGGGGGCAAATCAGAGCCATGGCAGAGAGCAGGTGTGTTTTTGCAAAAGTTCCCAAGTGAATTCTCCTTTGGCTCCCATTTTAATTCCACCCTTCAATAGCGATATGACCTTGGACAAAGTCCTTCACCTCTCTGCACTTCCATTTCCTTATTTTGTAGAATGAGGTTGATATCTACCCTGCCTATAGGGTCACTACGAGTTGGAATCGACTTGCTAGCAATGGGTTTGGTTTTTGGTTACCTTATATTATTGTATTGATGAATGTAGGTTTAATGGAAATGTGGATGTGAAGAACCCTGAGCCTGGAGGGCATGAGAAATTATAGGACAAAAAGGAGTTAAGGCCTCAAGACTAAATAACACATATGGGGCAAAGCCAGTCAGAACCAGCAGAAAGCAGCCTGATGGTGACTCTTGCCTCTTTATGCTATGAATCTCAACTCTACCACCTGGATTCAGCCCATAATGAATCTTAGCTAATATTCTAAGCCTACTAGGGGCTATGAGACTGTGGTTTTGTGTACAAAAAGCCCCGTACCATCTCCCTCCCCAAATGTCCATTCACAGAGCCTACATGTGGCACAAACAATTAAGTGCTGGACGACTAGCCGAAGTTTGGCAGTTCAAACCTAGCCAGAGGTGCCTTGGAAGATAGGCCTAGCGATCTGCTTCTGAAAACCTATGAAGCGGTTCCACTTTGCTGAACACATGGGTCTCCGGGAGTGGAATCAACTTGATGGCAACTAATAACAACAATAAAGCTCTCTCTGATGGGTTGAATTTCTCTGCCCAGCTGGAAGCTCACCTCCCTGCTCACTTAACTAGTTGCCATTGAGTGGGATCCATGTGTGTCAGAGTAGAATTACGCTCCATAGGGTTCTCAATGTTTGATTTTTCAGAAGTAGATCACCAGGCTTTTCTTCCAAGGCACGTGCGGGTGATCTCGAACCTCCAACCTTTTGGTTAGCAGCCAAGCACATTAACCATTTTCACCATCCTGGAACTCACTTAGCCTCAGAGAAGTCTTTAGTTTGCCTGATCAGTAATGAGGATTAAGCAGCTCTTTCTCAACCTATATGGCAAGACTGAGATAGCTTTGTTTTTCTTATTGTCCCTTAGAAACAGGGTCAAAAAACCTGTAGACCAAGGACTTACCTCTAGGATTGATGTCTGCACTTGGAGGATCTGTTCATGGCCTTTGAGCTGCCGGATGCAGATTTTGCAAGACAGCTGGGTGGTGGTGGGCGTGTAGCGCTCAAGGGAGAAGGCACAGTGCAGGGGCTGCCGGTTACTGCACCACACGCGGGAGAACGGGACTTCCTGCAGGGGAGATGGGGGAGAGAAGAGGGGCATGGTGTGCAGAGCCCAGCTGACGTGAGCAGAGAACAGGAGAGACTTAATAAAAATAATTATGGTGACGATGACGATGATCACAGCAGAGAAAATTGCCTAAGTGACTTTGGTAGAATTGTTGTAGAAATAACGTTCCAGCATAAGCCAAGTAGCACAGAAGTAATTAATGTCAATGCCAATTGATAACATTTGAATTCCAAAACCACACTGCAAGAGCTGAGATTTCACTTGGTGACATACGCAATTAGAAAGAATACCATATATAGTTAATCTTCAGGTTTTTTTTCCACTTAAAAAATACTCTGCTTTAGAAGATGCCTATGGTCCATCCACTTTCCTAAGCCTAGGGTAGGATGATACCCTCTCACTTAAATGAAAATTATGCTAAAGAGCTGGTTGACCAGAATTTATCTCCACACCACAAACTCATTTAGAAAATTCACACAATATTGCTAATGTATCCAGTATTAATAAAGATTAATACCTACTGCAATATCACACACACAAACCCAATGGGCCACCCCAGAACAAACTAATCTGCCAACTCCTCATTCATCAATCCATTCCACAATTATGTATATGGCGCCTGCTAATGGCCAGACGCTGTACTATTAGTTTCTTATCAGATAAAAAAAAAAATAAGAAACTCTAAGGAGCAATAAAAAATTAAATTTGGTCCCCATCCTCATGAGATTTACAGGCAATTTAGTGGCAAAAGTAATTTTTACTAAATGAGGAGGAAAAAAGGTTTATAAAATCTATACAGATAACTTTTTTACCAATACCAGCCAGTGTCTGCCACTGATTGGGCTGTGCTCAGGCATATGGGTTTAAATAATGTGAAGCAGAGGTCAGTCACTGATATTCTTTCATGTACAAAATGGTCTGTCCTTCCTACTCAAATCTGGCAGAGCTCTTAGCAATGACCATGTGTGTCCAACCTCTAACAATCCTCACCCTCACTTTTTTCTTTTTCTCATCTCATTAATTTGCTCCTTTGCCTGTTGCTATAAATATAATTTTCTCAAATATTAAACCAGAAAGGTGGCAAAAGGTTTATCAAGGGTGAAAGTCTGAGACTCTGAAGTGTGACTGCTGATGAAGCCAGCATGTGCTATAAGATCAACGGCCATGATTAAAATTCAGTCTCTTCACTTGGAGGAACTATGAGTTACCCAGTTGAGCACTAATTTGCATACTTGTTTCCATACTTTGCTTTCTAATTTTCCATGTAGAAAATCCTACACATCTTGATTTGGGATATTGCACAAGGGGAGCCAGCAAGGAGGGATGGATTGTAGATTGTAGCACACTTGAAGAAACGAGAATATGAGAATCTAATCAAACATTTACTCCCACCATGCATCTCAGTCACCAATATAAGGACTTTCGTCTGTTTGCTTTTTCTTAATCCTGAACCAAGGGAAAGGCAGTGAGTCTCCACCATGGTGTCACTAGGGTTGGTGTCACCCAGTGCAGTAACTCATGGTGCCACTCTCGTCTCCCGTGAGTGGAGAGGCTGGGCTCAGCCCCTCCCAGCTCTGCCCCATGCAGCTCCTCCCCTCTCCCATTGGTCAAGGCAGAGACCCTCCTCTCTGCCCAAGGGCGGTTCTGCAGCCGGTCAACCCGCACCCTGACTGGTGGGTGACTTCGGGAGGGGAGTGATGCATTACTGCACTGGGTGATGGGGGTGTGTGTGTGTGAGGTGGGGTGGGTGGTGGTGATGAGTTACTGCACTCAGTGATGAATGTCACCAAGCCTAGGGATGCCACTGCCTTGGCAGCCCCTGTCCCACCTTCAGGGGATCATTTTGATGTTACCCCCTCTGACAGTGTCAAGAGGTGCATCTGCAGCCCGGTAGTGATGCCACTGGACCTCTGTCTCTGGAAGGAGAGAAAAGGACTCAGAAAAGGCCTGTATGTATCACACTAAGTAACATTTAATAGACATTCCTATGCAAGGCGTGGTCTGTTAGTACTCAAAACTATCTTTCCATTCTCAGTTCACTTCTACATGTCAGGGGCTGGAAGCCCACAGACTACATTTCACAGATTCCCATGCTAGCAGACTCCAAATTCAGTTCTGTCAATCAGAGGCATTCAAGCTAGATATGGCAGGGAGAGGAGAAGAGAGAGGCACCACTGCTCCTCTAGATCAGCAGGAAGATCCAAAGGCTTTGGCAACGAGCACATGTAAGTTTTGCAGGGGCTTCTGCACCTTCTCCTGAGAATCAGTGCTCTTGCGGTTTGCTGAAATTCCTGAACTTGCTGTTTCCTAATATCATTAAGTGGTTTTCTCTGACTCTGGCTCCCCTAGCCCTTCCAAAGGTTTTGCAAGCATATCAATCCTTTGACTATATCTCTCTCTGGTTGAAATACCTTGAGTAGTTTCTGTTTCGCTGGTCAAAATAATTATCTAATGAAACTACCGAAGATTTGAAGTTCTCTTAGAAAATTATACAAGCTGGGAAATAATGAAAATGTACCATTAGTAGGTTCCACATGGTGGCTGTCAACTATGGGAAACCCTGGGAGAAGCCCTATACTAATGGTCACAAAGAAAGCTTTGGCTGGAGCACAATTTGTCATGCCACTAGCAAGACAGCACCGGTCCATTTTATGGAACTTCCTTTCTACTTTCTTCCTATACAGAATTTTTTACTTAGGTTTTCTCTGTTCCCTTTCTGGTAGTAGACACCACAGGAAAGGACAATTCTGTATGGTGGGGCCTCCCTGTAATCCTTAGAAGGAGTAATTTTCTCTAAAATACTCAAAAGTAGTTTTCAACTGCATCAAATTCTATACCACGTAAAATAAATAATAATATATATTTATAATCCCTGCTGTTTCTTTTTCTTGTCTAACATGATCTTTTCCCTACTTCTCCTCTTGAATCTTCTTACATTTAATACACCCATGGGTAACTCTTACTTCATGTCTCAGCCTTCTACACTTCTCTGTCTACTGAAATCTTCAAAATCTCATCTGTTAACATATGCCCAGTTGCCATCTCTCTGTGGAGAACTCCAATAGCTACATCAATGTCAGTCTCTGACATTACACTTCTAATTACTACAAATAATTTTAAATGGACTATACTTTCCATTGCAATTTTGCCATTTGAAAATTAATTACCACCGTATTTCTTCTATTGCCATTCTTCTCCAATTTTCCTATTTCCATTAATGGTCTTCTCTCTCCTCATAATAGCTAACTGTAGCAACCAACTGATCGGTCTTCTGTTCTTCAGTTTCCACTATAGAGAGCTATGGAGAGTGTTGGAGCTTGACTGGAGAGGGAAACAGAGCAGTTGATTGGTATTCTTGGTATTATTGATATTCTTCAGAGAATAGCATTCATTCTCTTTTACCTCTGACCATGGTAGGGTACACTGATGTAACCAGATCACCTAAGAACTCTGCTTTCCTCACATGATTCCTTTGTTTGTGGGAAAATCATGGTCCCCTGTTGCCCACGATGTTAAATCTAGCCCTCTGCCTGCCTTCAAGGGTTTCCATCATCCTTTGTCCTTTCTTCACTCTTTGCTTTCTGATTTTGGTTAGCTCTCAAATGAACTCCCTTCTCTAAACCAGTAAATTTTTTGTAGAGCCACTTTATATGTGATTCTTTAATGCAAGTAACTGTACTATGGGACTCTGTGGCTAACAGGTTCTTTTACCTAACTAGGCTGGAGTTTTGTTTTTTTTTTTTTCTCTAAAACTGAACTCTGAGTCATTACAGTGTAATGCAAGTGTGTGGACTTCAGAGCCAGATAGAGTTGCGTTCCAGGTCCAGCTTTAAGCAAGCCTACATTTTCTGGACTGGATTTGAATCCTGGGTAATGCTTACCTTCCTAAAAAATATGGCACTGAACATTTATTTAAAAGAGTCTTCCCTGGTATCATTTCTTAAATGTTCTGTATTTTCTCCTGAAAATACTGGAAGATAAGAGAGTAGTGCCCACCGCAGCAATAATCTTTCCTTGGAGAAACACATGACAATCAGCACTAAAATGCCTCTCTTTTCTCTTTCCATTCCACTGCACGCAATCAAAACTTTTTTAAAAAATCTGATTTTGACAGTACCAAAAGAATATATATGTTTTTATTGTTGACTTGAGTAGCAGCTGCCAATAGTGCTCAACAAAACATTTAAAAATAATAGAATTAGAAGCACTGTGATTCATTTGTTTTCAGGCCAGTCATCTTTGCTTTCATTTATTCAAGAGAAAGAAAAAGAAAAGAAACACCACACACATACAAGATGCTCACTGAGCTGAGCGGAATTATATGGCAAGTAATATGGGAGGACAAAGTATAGCAAAGTTATGGGTGTTTAAAGAATTGTGGAAATGTTTTCATTTTGATTCCCATTATAATTAGGTTCCTAGCAGATGGAGAGAATGTAAATCATATCCTAGCAGGAGACAGACACTGGGTTCTCCAAGATACATAGCACGCTTAAAAAGACAGTTGCTTTTATTCTAGGGAGGTGACAGCCTGACTTTGTGTTTTGTTGGGTTTAAAAAATAAATTAATATTTTATCGTATACTGTTTATTACAGCTTCCCCACCGCACAGTCAGCAAGGAATAAAGAGAAACGCAGTTAAGTAGCTTTCAGTTCCCAGCAACCTGTTGAAAGTAGAGTTATTTACCTCCTAGAGGAGAGTTGGTAACTCTGGGGAGGGGGTCAGTGGCTTATCCCTAATTGTGGTAGAGTCTGAAAGCCTGAGAAGATAATGAGGAATAAGTAATTGTTTACTTTCGGGGGACTAGCATTGTGGACGTCAGTTTTTCTTTGAATTGAGGTCAATGGGTACCAACGTAACCAGATGTCCTAAGAACGCCTCTCATCTAATACACCTGGCTTCATAAGCAATAGGGTCGCAGCATAGCATTCCATGAATTATAATCCCTAAAATCTAAAGTGACAAAATTTAAAATCTATTTGGCCCTCCTATGTGTAGGCTTTCATCACATACCTCTAGACCCGAACTTGAACTTTCACCATTTTAAACCCGTTCTCATGCAGTTCGTTGGTCACCAGCAGAGCAGGCCTCTAGGGACTGGGGACCTCCCCGGCCTCTACCTGCTTGGAGAACTCCACACATTCCAGAAGAAAACAGAAAGATTTCCCGGGAAGGCAGGGTTTGGGTACCAACTGGAATATGCCGATTCCCAGATCCCTCATTTGAAGTTAGGGGAGGGCGGGGAAGAATGAGATGACAAAAGATGCTAGAGGTCTTCTCTGCACTGAGTTGGAAGATGACAGGGAGAATTGGTAGTTGGTGGGGACACCTATAAATGATGTTGGAAACAGTGTGATTTTCTGTCTTCACAATAGCTCTCTGGGATAACAAGAAAAAGGCCCTGTTCGTTCCTAACCGCTAAGCTCTAATGAAAAGCCATTCTCTATTATCTACACCAAGTTTGTCAGTGCACATGATGTTCTACATGAGGTTCCAGCAGGCCGAACACAAACCCTCCCCAAAGTGCTTACATCTAATGCCTGGAGCAAACACGGCATGGCCATTAAGCCAAACGAAATTTGCATTAACATGAGGAGGATTGCAATGATGACGGGGCAAGGAAATTGGTGGGTAGGGGTGGTGAAGAGGAAGGAGGAATAGAGCAGAAAGCTATTCATGGGTAAGAAAAATGAAGTGAAATGAAAACTCAGTGGCAAGCCTCCTGGTGCAGACAAAATTAAATTGTTTCTCAGCCTTCTAAGACGCTTTCAAATTATACTCAATTACAAAAGGCAAATATTTATGGACATTCACAACCTCCATGCAATCCAACCCACCCCAGCAGTAAAACGTGTTGGGTTTCCTTGCAAGCCAATGCCCTTTGGCACTGGCTGTCCCTCTTGCATCCTGGGAGCTCAGAAGGCACTCAGCCCTCCAAGCCTTTTCTGCCTGGGAATATCTTTGGAATCCCTGATGTTGAAATTATTGTTTAAGTGCTGCCGCAAGGTAATAGTTCTTTCATCTGATTTTTTTTTTTAAATCTATGAGCAATAAGCTTAACAGTTACTTTGGACTGAGTCACTCGTATTAGATCCAGTGACGTAAGGCCCTTATAACCTATAAAGATTAATACAGAGAAATTTGCATGACTATCAGAACTTGCTTTAACAGTACCCTGATGTTCAATTTACACTAGAAACTTTGAATACTACTTACAGGAAAGCAGAGCCACTTAGGTCTTGAATATCATAAACAATACATTTATTCATAGAAAACATCTCTCCATAAGAAAATGTGCTGAATGTGCCAAAAGGAAAACAAAAATAGTTTGGGGTTAGGAAAGATGTTCTTGTTGTTTTGAATGCACTAGAACAGTGCAGAGAGGGGCAACTCCCCAAGGTAATAAGAAGTCTGAGAAGGTAAAGAGAAAAACACAGCCTTGTCCAACTTGGAAATTCTGAATTTTAGCAGCTGAGAGGGTTGGTTGTTTGTCTTTCTTCTAACTCTCATGCTGCAATCAGGGTTTTCTCCTTGTGGTTTGGCTTGTTCCCATTCTGACAGGCTGGTATACTTTGTGTATAGTTGTAAAAACAAACAAACAAACTTAAACAAAAAAAATGAGTGTTGCAAAGATGGAAAAGTTAAAAATCCCACAGGGTTCTACAGGTTATGCTGATGGGCAGAACAAAGAATGTGAAATCCTCCTGTGAATCCAGATCAATGTGAGTCCACCAGAAGTTTCTCCAGAGTTTGGAAACATCCTGTCACATGAAGCACAGAATGCCAGTGGCTTAAAAAACTACAGCATTATTAGCCAGCTCCTTACAATGACAATACTTATCACTGGGAATTTTCATGGAATTCAGTGGTGGGTCACAAATTGCTAAGTGAGCTTTTCATTCTAAGCAGGTAGTGAAAAATCTGTAAAAATGGTTCAAAGAGGTTCTGAGTCACCCTGAATTATTAAAAAAAAAAAATCCAATAAAAAGGCCTGTGGACAATAATATATAAATATGTTTATTTATAAAAGGGTTCTAAAAAGGAATTATCCTTCCTTTGCTTCTCAATTCATAATGTCTTCTTCCCCTCCTGCCCAATTCATTTGACAGGAAACCCTTCATATATGGAGGATAGAATCTATTGTTCCCACCTAGTCACAGCTCTGTAACTCAAAATGATCACTCTTTGACAGTTTCTCACAAGGTTAACCATTATTGCATATCATTAAAACAATGTCTTATAAAATGAACTGATTTTAATAAACTAACCAACCAACAAACCTCCCCTATGTTGTTAAGTTGCCATGTTCAATTTATGCTGGGCAGCCGTTTATAAAGGAGAGAGGAGAAATGTCATGTTACCTGGTGTGCAAGCACCTTTTTCCCTACCCGTGTGAAACTTCTGAATTTAAGATAAAACGTTTCATTTTTTGTGTGTGGCCAAAACTGTTATATTTCTGCAACAGTTTTGAAATTAAATCTATACTTACAAAGCAGGAAGAAAATCAAGAGGACCCTCACCAGGGCTGGTGACACACTTGTTGGCTAAAGCAAAGGTGTTTCTTTAGAAACCCATTTGGCCAGTACCTGGCATGCAGTGAATGGTTTAATTCTCCAGAGAAATGGCGGGATATCGAGGACAGAGATCTGAAGACTAAAGGTGTTCCCTTTGAAGTGCAGCAACTTTGGTTCTTCCAGTAGTTGTCCACCTTGATGCCTTTCATCTGAAACCACTTCCTACAGGAGAGGAAAAAGAAAAAGGAGCCACAATGAAGTGCCCAGTTTCTTACACATGTTCCTTTCTTTTTCTTTTTTAATTGTGCTTTAGTTGAAGGTTTGCAGAGCAAATTAGCCTCTCATTAAACAGCTAATACACTTATTGTTTTGTGACTTTGGTTACCAACCCCACAACATGCCAATACTCCCCTCCTGTTGACCTCGGGTTCCCCATTACCAGCTTTCCTATTACGTCCTGCCTTCTCTTCCTCGCCCCTTGGCTGGTGTGCCCATTTAGTCTCATTTTGTTTTATGGGCCTGTCTAATCTTTGGCTGGAGGGTGAACCTCAGCGGTGACTTCAGTATTAAGTTAAAAGGGTGTCTGGGGGCCATACTTTTGGGGTTTCTCTAGTCTCTGTCAGACCAATAAATTTGGTCTTTTTTTGAGAGTTAGAATTTTGTTCTACATTTTTCTCCAGTTCTGTCTGAGACCCTCTATTGTGATCCCTGTCAGAGCAGTCAGTGGTGGTAGCCAGGCACCATCTAATTGTGCTAGACTCAGTCTGCTGGAGGCTGTGGTAGTTGTGGCCCATTAGTCCTTTGGACTAATCTTTCCCTTGTGTCTTTGATTATCTTCATTCTCCCTTGCTCCAGACAGGTGGAACAAGTGGAGTATCTTAGATGGCCGCTCACATGCTTTTAAGACCCCAGACACTACTCACCAAAGTAGGATGCAGAACATTTTCTTTATGAACTATGTTATATCAATTGAGCTAGATGTCCCCTGAAACCATGGTCCCCAGTCCTCAGCCCAGTAATTCAGTCCTTCAGGGAGTTTGGATGTGTCTATGAAGCTTTCATGACTTTGCCTTGGTCAAGTTGTGCTGACTTCCCCAGTATATTACGTATTTTCTATCTATGGATATATATGCTCACAGCCACACGTCTCCCAGAAATGGATAAACCACACAATGGGCACATACTTCTTTTGCATCCCTGTATCATTTGAGGTTCAAAACCAAGGACTAAAAACTGGGTCAGGGTTTGGTCAGAAAGAAACAATTGTTCTTTATCATGTGTGTTACTTAGGCTTTAAAACACACTGCACCTTTCTTTGAAAGAAAAAGACTTCCTCTGCCCCAAGCAAATTATAATACTATTGAGTTTCCACAGTTGTGTGAATTTCATTCTGATATGACCATAATCAAGGGATGTGTTCCTGCTTAACCTACCACATCATCATATTTCACAATAAAGGTAGAAACAGCCCCCTTCCACTCTGGTTCAATTGTTCTCCACTAGCATAGGCATTATCTGATTTTTATTGATTCCTTTGGCTCAAAATAAACACTACAGAGTGCATGTATTATGTTTATTTTTTAGCAATGTTCATAAAGTTATTATATCAAAAGCCAAGGAAAATTAAGTTGCTTATCAAGTTAGGTTTATCTCAAAAAAAAAAAAAAAAAGAAATCAAATTCCTGAGGTAAACATTCTTGTACCTTTCACTGAGAAGTCTTTAAAATTATAGTTAATACAAACACATTTCACACATATTCTATTGAGTATATTATTTAGCTGGTTGCAATTGTGCGATGTTTAGAATCACATTGGAGAGGTAACAGGACATGTGATATAATAGAATATAATAATGCATTCTGTAAAATGTTAAACTAAGGGGGCAAAACCTTTAGTGTTTTCGAGATTAGAGATCTTCCTAAATATATTTTTAATATCACCATTAATTGACTTATAATTTCTTTGCAGAGGTAGGATAAATAAGAAAACTGAAATCATTTAATTATGTCCTATAATCTTCCCAGGTTCTAAAAAACTTAAGACAAATAGGTTTATAAATACATGAAACTAAAATGTCAATTATCAACAGATAAAAGCAGCTTTATTGTTGTTAGGTGCCGTAAATTGGTTTCCGACACATAGCAACCCTACGCACCACAGAACGAAACACTGCCCAGTCCTGCACCATGCTCACAATCATTGTTATGCTTGAGCTCATTGTTGCAGCCACTGTGTTAGTCCATCTCGTTGAAGGTCTTCCTCTTTTTCAATGACCCTCTACTTTATCAAGCATGATGTCCTTCTCCAGGGACCAGTCCCTCCTGACAACATGTCCAAAGTATGTAAGACGTAGTCTTACCATCCTTCCTTCTAAGGAGCATTCTGGTTGTACTTCTTCCAGGACAGATCTATTTATTCTTTTGGCAATTCATGGTATATTCAATATTTTTCACCAACACCACAATTCAAAGGCGTCAATTCTTGTTCGGTCTTCTTTATTCATCATCCAGCTTTTGCGTGCATATGATGCGACCGAAAATACCATGGCTTGGGTTAGGGGCACCTTAGTCTTCAAGGTGACATCTTTGCTTTTCAACATTTTAAAGAAGTCTTTTGCAGCAGATTTGCCCAATGCAATGTGTCTTTTGATTTCCTGACTGCTGCTTCCATGGGTGTTGATTGTGGATCCAAGTAAAATGAGAGGAACAATGCAGAAAACGAGGGTGAGAATGGTTGCACAACTGGAAGAATGTAATCCATGTCACTGAATTGTACATGTAGAAAGGGTTGAATTGGTGTATGTTTTGCTGTGTATATTCCCAATAACAACAAAATCAATTAAAAAAAGGAAAAAAATCTAACTTGTCCTTAATGTACAGAGAAGTAAACTGAGTTTAGGAAATGATTTCTTCAAGGTCATGCAGTTATGTAGTGTAGAGTTACATAATTTTAATACTTATAACCACTCAGACTCATCACACTAGAAGGAAACTTAACGAATTTTCAGATTGTTAAATCAAAAAACAAACAAACAAAAAGCAAAAAAACTGTTGTTGTTGAGTGACCCTGAGCCATGTGACTCCATGTGTGTCAGAGTAGAACTGTGCTGTGCTCCAGAGCATTTTCAATGGCTGATTTCTTGGAAGTAGATCACCAGCCCTTTCTTCTGAAGGAGTTCCTGGGTGGTGCAAACCATTAAACATGCTGTTACAAACCAAAAGGTTGGCAGTTAGAACCCACCCAGAGGGGCCTTGGAACAAAGGCCTGGCAATCTGCTTCTGAAAGGTCATAGCCTTGAACAGCCTATGGAGTGTAGTTCTACTCTGCAACATGGGGTCATCATGAGTTAGAATTGACTCCAGGGCAACTGGTTTGGTTTGGCTTGGTTTTCTTTCAAGGCCCCTCTGGGTGGATTCAAACTGCCAAAATTTCAGTTAGAAGCCTATCTCATTAACCATTTGTACCACCCAGGGACTCCTTTAGATTATTAAGTACCTTATTTACAGATGTCAACATGGAGGTCCCCAGGGAGAAAGTGATTTACCTAAAGCCACACGGTTAGTAATAGAACTAAAACAGTGCAATTTGATTCATGGTCTAAGGTTTTTTTTTTTTGTACTAGATTATCTTGCTTTTTCTTATACTATGCTTGATGTTTTTTAAACAGTCATTTCAAGGTCTGAATGCTATTAACTTTGCCCCATAAATAAATGTTCATTGGTGCAAGATATGTGTACAGGATGATATAAATCAGCCTGCATCTGCCCTGTTGTTGTTGCTGTTGGGTGCCACTGAGTCCATTCCGACTCACAGTGACCCCATGTGACGGAGTAAAACTACCCAATAGGGCTTTCTTAGCTGTAACCCTTATGGAAGCAGATCACCAGGTCTTTTTCCCACGGATCTGCTGGATGGGTTCTAACCGCTAGCCTTTCAGTTACTGCCAAGCACTTAACTGTTGTACCACCGGGGCTCCTTGTATTTGCCCTAGAATTACATATATTGTCTAAGCAGCCCCTGAAATGCAGAATGGAGAAAATTAGAATTTTTTCAAGGTGAATATCTACTTGTATGTAGCACAGACCAAAGAGGTGCACCTTTTTAAATTTATGCTTTAAGACTCCAAATTTAAATACAACCATGATTCGGTTTTTTTCTTTTTTTTTATTATTGTACTTTAGATGAAGATTTACAGAACTAGCTTCTCATTAAACAATTCATACACATATTATTTTGTGACATTGGTTACCAACCCCACGACAGGTCAACACTCTCCCTTCTCGACCTTGGGTTCCCAATCACCAGCTTTCCTGTCCCCTCCTGCCTTCTAGTCCTTGCCCCTGGGTTGGTGTGCCCCTTTAGTCTGCTTTTGTTTTATGAGCCTGTCTATTCTTTGACTGAAGGGTGAACCTCAGGAGTGACTTCATTACTGAGTTAAAAGGCTGTCTGGGGGCCATACTCTAGGGATTTCTCCAGTATCTGTCAGGCTGGTAAGTCTGGTCTTCTTTTGTGAGTTAGAATTTTGTACTACATTTTTCTCCAGTTCTGTCTGGGACCCGACATTGTGATCCCTGTCAGAGTAGTCAGTGGCAGCAGCCAGACACCATTCTGTTGTGCTGGACTCAGTCCGGTGGAGGCTGTGGTAGTTGTGGTCCATTAGGCCTTTAGACTTGTGTCCTTGGTTTTCTTCATTCTCCCTTGCTCCTGAAGGGGTGAGACGAGTGGAGTATCTTGATGGCTGCTCACAAGCTTTTAGGAGCCCAGAAGCTACTCACCAAAATAGAATGTAGAACATTTTCTTTATAAACTACGTTATACCAATTGAGCTAGCTGTTCCCCAAGAATGAACTTATTTTAATCTGCACATTCTGAACAAACTATATATGAATAACAGTGTCTCATAATCTCATACAAAATATTAAGCAATTATAGTTAGTCTGCAACAAAACGATTAATTATTAAATGAAAGAGCCCAATAATGAACTAATCATTGTGTTTGTTTGTAAAGGCACAATTGGTTTCACAGTTAAAGAAATAAACACCCGCGCACGAAGCTTTAAAACTCTCTCCAATTAAAATGGATTATACCCAACACAGATGTCCTAGTTACACTCTGGACCTAGTGAATTATATCCAGGACTGGCCTTACACATCTGTATTTTTAAATGCTCCTCAGATAATTCTGATGTCCAACCAGGTTAGGGATCAATGACATAAACAATAATACTAACTCTATGGAGCTCATTCTGAATCACTCACATGGATGATGGATGTATCACCCCAAGACTGTAGCCTTGTATCCGCTGGATTTTTCCTATCTGCCTCCTATGTAATAAGAACTTCCTGTTAAATCTCTGGTTCTTTTGTTAAATTGATATCTGAGTTAATTAAACTAGAAAACAGGGTCTGGCCAGTTTCTGGTGTATAAAATGTAGCTAAAGGCTCTGGATGGTGATTTTTGTAGTCTCTCCACTTTATCATCTCACTTTGGGAGTTACGAGTCATCCAGTTCTAGGAGTTTTGGCCAGGAGAAACTTGTGCTTAGTGCCTTGCTGAGCTCTTTACGCTGATTTAATGAGACAGGCAGCAATATTTAGGTGTGCTTCAGGGATACTAAAACAGGCAGGCGGAATTTACATATTTACAACACAAAACTGTTTGAACTTACACACACACATATACACACACATGCACGCACAAATTGTGTCACTGTGGTGTTTTCCGTTAAATGCTTTAGGTGAACAATATTTCCCAAGGTTGCATTATTGATAAACACGAGAACTACATCTGGAAGAAATCCTTTGAAATTAGATTCTAAATCCACATTAATGCCAAGTAAGTAGTGAGTACCGAGAGGGACTGAATAGGTGTGCTGGGAGCAACAGAGAAAAAAACTAGTTGTTTTTTTCTCTTTTCTTTCAAAGATAGGGCAAATGCTTAATTCCTCGCTTTTCCTATGTCAAGGTTTGTTTGAGTTAAATGCAAATGTGAGTGCGTGCGTGTATGTGTGATAAAACACAATCATAAAAAAAAGAAAAAACTAGGTCTTAAAATGTTACCCCTTCAAAAACATGTCACTGTTCTCGGTCCCTCCTTCCTTTGGTTTGAATTCACCCAAGAGGGCAAAGTCAGACACACAAACATTAAAAGGCAGCTCTCATTATGATGGAAACACAGAAGCAGGGAGGATGAGAAGTTACTTGGTTCTTCTCTGCTTACCCTCCTCTCACCTTCAGGCAGATGACATTTTTATTTATTTTTAACATATCTGAGCTGATTTAATTTTCCATAGAGACGGTTTGAGGTGTATTTATCAGAACAATCTTCAAACATCTGAAACTAAATTAATTATGTCTTAAGCGAGGTACAAGAGGTATTTTTGTCATTCAAAGAAATGGCTACTATTATTCAGATAAAATTATCTCCAGAACAAATGAGAAGCAAGCAGAATAACCTGCAGTAGGCCTAGGGGAAGGAGGGCATGAGTGAAAATAGAGAATGTCTCTGTTTAATTACTGAAATTCTCTAAAGGTTTTTTTTTTTTTTTTTGATGGAGCCTGGCCCACTAATTCTGAGAGGATGGTGTATGCGGTCTGGAAGATTCCCTGTTGTAAGGATTCCCAGTGAAACCGTAGACTTTTAAGTATTTTGTGGGATATAATTTCCCAGTGAGATACGAATAAAATGAAGGATGCAGCCATACCCTTTAACCAGATTTTCTTCTTGGCTAAACACACAGCTCTGGTTAGGTACATATTTGTTTTCGTTTCTTTGGGATATAAAAGAAGCACTACAATAAATAAAGTAGCTGTCACAACCTTGCTTGTATCTCTTTCCAAATCATGATGAACATTTCATTATAAGTGATAGTTGAGCCAAATTCCAAGATGAGCAATTTCTGTAGAAATGCTCCATGAAAAAATACATACTAACTTTCAGAAGTCAGGTTCTGTCAGAGTTACAGAAAGTGAGTTACGGCCGTACACAACAATTTCAGCTCACACCACATGACCTGGGGTAGCTAATATCAATCTGTGAAATTTTGTAGAGGTTCAAAAAGTGAACTACAGCTGGGGCTTTCTTAAAGTGGAATTGTCTTAATGGGTTAAAGGAGTTGCTGTCGACTCGACTCCGACTTATGGCAACCCATGCGTGTCAGAGTAGAACTGTGCTCCACAGGGTTTTCAATGGCTAATGTTTCAGAGGTAGATCACCAGGCCTTTCTTCCAAGGTGCCTCTAGGTTAACAGTTGAGTGTGTAAATGTTTGCACATTTGCACACCCAGGACTCCTTTTAATGTGTTAGTAACTAGATAATTTTCCCTTGTAATTAAATACTATATAAAGAGCCATGAAAAAATATTGCATAGATGATTTGGAATAGTAAGCTGGTTAAAATGAATCTGTGCAGAAGGTCCTGAACACATACACTCAGCAAGATGAAAATCCAGAAGCAAGGTCCTTTCAGAAACAACAACAAAAACAGAGACTAAGACTATGGAGTAAATGGTTGCTTCCTGGACTAGGAAATCTCAGTTCACAAAAGCTACAAGTTACATTTTAATCTATCAGAAGTTATTCAACTGGCTGTTGATCTCACAGAACCCCAGGGGAAAGTGCGGCCTTTGCTGGTCATGACAGCTGTCACATACATCCTATCAACAACAAACAACGAAACTCAATTTTAGAAATCAGCTTTATCGGACATAACAGGAGAGGGGAAGAATCACTGAAGGTAAATAGATTAGGACAAATGGGGTCAAAGGTATTCCCAATGAAAAACATTTCTCTATCACAAAATTAAAGACTTTTACCAATTTATGAAATACCTCTAAATGATGAAATAAAGATACTTAGAATCAATTAGAGGGAGAATGTCTTAATCATCTAGTGCTGCTACAACAGAAATACCACAAGTAGATGGCTTTAACAAAGAGCAATTTATTTCTTCACAGTAAAGTAGGCTAAAAGTCCAAATTCAGGGTGTCACCTCCAAGGGAAGTCTTTTTCTCTTTTTTGGCCTTCTCATCAGTGCTTCCCTGGACTAGGAGCTTCTTGGCCCAGGAACCCCAGGTCCAAAGGACATGCTCTGCTCCCGTCACTGCTTTCTTGGTGGTTTGAGGTTCCCAATTTTCTGCTTGCTTCCCTTTCCTTTTGTTTCTTGTAAGGTAAAAGGTGGTACAGGCTACACCCTAGGGAAACTCCCTTTACATTGGATCAGGGATGTGACCTGGGTAAAGTTGGTGTTACAATCCCACCCTAATCCTCTTTAACATAAAATTACAATCACAAAATGGAGGCCAACCACACAGTTCTGAGAATCATGGCCCAGCCAAATTGATACACACATTTTTTGGGGTGACACAATTCAAACCATGACAGAGAATAACATTATTCTAGCCTTGACTAAGAAGAGTACATTACCAAAGGGATTGGACAGTAGTTTGAAAAACTGTGCTTCCAGCCTTATTTGCAAGAGTTCCACTGTAGTTCATATCCATCTGCGAACAGTTGAGCTGCCATAGGATCTAGCAGCAATCAACAGGCATGATCTGAAAGTCACTGAGAAGAAACTCTTCAGGTAAATGCTAATCCGACAGTATATACATTAGCTGTAAGGCCACTATTCAAAGCAAATTCCAAGGTGGTTATGAGGGTTGACTTCTGAGACAGTCATGGTGAGTAAGTTCGGAGAGTCACAGGGATCAGCGATAGGTTATTCATGTTCATGCCAGTGTTCTCAGTCTTTATAACTTGGCTGAGTTACTAAACATCCAGCTTGAGTCATGGTGCATTCTGAAACTGTTTAGTAGTACTAGTGACCTGAGGGTGAACCACTCTGGTCATTCATTTTTTGTGTTTGCTTAGTGAATGTCTGTTAGATATTTTCTCTTGGAGGAAGCCTTTTTTATCGGGTGTGGGGAGAGCAGATGAAGAATAGACAAAGGCAATCATAGGATGTGGTTTCACTATTTACACTGAACTTCTTTACTCTACAAAATGGCACCCCAACCAATGAAGCCCCTGTTTTGAGCAGCCACAGATGAAGCATGTCCTTCATAACAGCCTGGGCTGCTCAAGTCAGTCAGGGAAGGTCTGGGGACATAGTCTGGCACTGTGTCACCTTCACTGGCTTGTGCTCAGGATTCAGGTCATTGTATCTTTCTATTGGTAAACATGAGTTTTCCAGCTCAGTGTCTTAAAAGTTAGTTATCAAAGAAATACTCTGCATAATAGACTTAATGATCCAGGACTGGAATAGCAGGGATCTGGAATGAGGTGTGTCCAGAGAGCTATGCTATTTATATATGGGCAAAGCTTACATAGGCACTTCTGCCTTGTCCTTGCTGCTATTAATAAACTCACACTCTTTGTGAGTAGCTAATTTAAAATTAATCTCACATGATTAAAAGTCCCAGAAATGGAAAGGAGCCTTGAACCATCTCTGCCCAGTAACCTTGATAATTAATAGACTATGTATCCAGGATATAATATGGCTGCTTGGTGATAGGGATAATTTGTAACTGTTGTTCTCCAGCTACAACCTTCAGCTGATTCAAGTAGTTTTCTCACTGCCCTCTGCATATCATGGAGCCCTGGTGGTGTAGTGGTTAAGAGCTTGGCTGCTAACCGAGAGGCTAGCAGTTCAAATCCACCAGCCGCTCCTTGGAAGTCCTATGGAGCAGTTTTACTCTGTCCTATAGGGTAGCTATGAGTCGGAATTGACACATTGGGAATGGAACTCTGCACATCAAATAAGACTTGTTGCTTCTGGGGCTCTTACCATTTACTTTCTTGACCATGGTATCACTTTCTCTTTTGCAGCTAAATCTTATTCGTCCATCAAAGTTCACAAAGAGTTTCCAAAAACTCTTCTCTAACTCCTCTGTCAAAGCTAGGTTTCTGTTTTCTGAACTCTTACTACACTTACAGTTTTATAACTTAGCATACCATGCTCTTCATATGTGTTAATTTAACCATCCTCTCCTCTCGAATGCCAACTACTTTAGCCCCTCAGAACTTGGCACAGTACTGGACACACAGTGACATAGCTCTCACTTCAAGATAAGTATCCTAGTCAAAGCAGTTGTATGGATTCCTCTTCCAGACCTACAGTAATAGAATTTTCTACTGCTACTAATCTTTAGGGAACCCACTGCTTTCATGAAACCCAAAGAAGAATTTTAGAAAAAAAGGCTGACCTGAAATGCACAAGGAGTATTGTCCACACAATAAACTCTCAAGTTGTAATCCAGGGAGTTACAGGACATGCAGCCAAAAACTGCCACCTTGAGTTGCTTCACGGCACAGTCTGTGATTGGTTCTCCAGTGAGGGCATAGGTCCCAAAGCTGTCTAGGAGCACATGGCACGCAAAGGGGTCCAAAAGGCAGTAACAGGATGTCGATTCATCCTCTACTGACATCACCTCCTGTTGAGAAAAGATGTGTTAAGTTCTCTCAGCTTGGAAATAAGATGTGATATAACAATTACTTTGCAAGGATGTATATACATACCAAACCAAAAAACCAAACTCATGGCTGTCGAGTCGATTCTGACTCATAACAACCCTATAGGACAGAGTAGAGCTGCCCCATAGGGTTTCCAAGGAACAGCTGGTGGATTTGAACTGCTGACCTTTTGGTTAGCAGCCAAGTTCTTTAACCACTGCACCACTAGGGCTCTGTATACACATATATTTACATACATACATACATAAAAATGTTCAGAATATTTTTATCATCCTAATTATATTGATAAAAATATTGCTGTTTCTTCTATCAACATAACTGTTTAATTTAGCAACTCAACAAATGGGTTATATTCCACATGTTGGAATTCTTCTTAATATATTATAGCAAATATCACTTTGAATTTCCTTCTATTTCTGGTTAATTTGTACAATGTCAAATTTAAAAAGATGTCTTGGACCTTAGTGTCAATATGCCAGCTCTTATTTATTTATTACCAACATCTGCTTCTGAAAGCCTCATTCCGTATCCTTAAGATAATGTTAATTTGTATTCAAACATCTTATCCCCTTTCATTTTGCTGAAATCGTTCATAAGGGAACATTAAATAAATGACTGTTTGGGATATGGACCATAATATCTCATGTTCCTTGCTAAGAACTTAGGTATGTGTGACTGGTTTGCTGGAGCACAGGTACGACGGTACCATCTGGAGGTAAAAGATAGTGAGAAAGTGTTGAGAAGAAAAAACTAAAGCATAAGAATCAAGGCAAATCAAAATATAATGAAAAGGGGACTAAAACACGGCCCCTTTATGAAGCCCATGGAAGTTTATGCCCCAGGAAGTTTGCCTGTGATTGTACTAGAAGTGAATAAATAGCAGAATGCATTTGGGAACAAAGAAAGTGGACTAGTTTTAAGACATGGATGACCACGGTAAATGTAATCCATTGCAGCAACTGGGGATTTTCTTCTCCTAAGGAAACATGATTTTCCTTCTACTCCTTTTGCCTGAAGCACCTTCTGGGAGCCAAGATCCCAGGGTTAGCTGGAACAGGTCATTGTGTTCCAACAAGATAATTCACCTGCTTTCATGCAAACTGACTTCAGATGGACATAAAAGGAATCCCTATCAGACAGATAAATCAGAGATTTCACTTGAAGTAGTAATTCAACGGCAATCTGTCTTTGCTGGGACTCTCTCTTATCGTTCGCCTCCTATTATATATCTTCATTTTCCTTTCTTCTCTCTCTTGTTCTCTTCTTGTACTATATCTCTTTTACATGTCCTCATATACAGAAGGAAATAGACACTCAAAATTCTTTTCAATGCGGTAACTAACTCACCAAACATCTATTTCACACCTACTGTGTTCCTGAATACTAACATCTAGATATGTTGCAGTCTCCATGATGTTCTCTTCCGAACACAGCCTGCCTGCCCTGCACCTCCTCCCTACACCACAAAGGCCACAGACTAAAGTTAATTGAGAAAGGAATGGAAGGGCCTGGAAGAGCCCTGGAAGAGAGGCGAGACAGTGAGCAGGTACCTAAGCGTCCATGTCTGTGTGGGTGATGACAACTGCATTCTAAAAGCAAATAGAAACAGCTCTGGATTATCTCTTACTTCTCTTTTCCATTATCATGGGAAATAAAGGAACCAGTACTTGAAGTTGTGAAACATGGGCCTCCAACCCTCTGGAAAACAAACAAATGCTCCAAAACGTCACAGCTGATTCATTGTGTTAAGACAGGGTAAGGCGAAAACTGTCCCATAGCTGGAACTCAAATCTCTTTTTTTTGAAGGAAGAATTAGCTCTCACCTCCCACTTGCCCTGCTGTGTCCTCTTCTTTAAATGGATATTCCAGTGCTCAGAGCTGACATCTGCACAGTGTGGTATGGTCAGTGCAAAGGGAGTGGTGACTATCATGTCTGGGGGTCCACAGGTGACTTCAGGACTCAGGAGCACCTCAGAGCCATCAGACTGGAGGCTTTACAGATGGGAAAAACATCAAAGGGAGAAGCATGTAAAGGCGGTAGCATATTTGAATAAAATTTTAGTTGCAGGCTGGGGTTTGCCTAGGCTGAGAAAAGTCCCTCTCCAGGTCCCCCTGTTGTTAGCCCCACACATGCAAAAGTTGGTCTGCATGACCCTCGCAATTTGGCCGTGAAATGGTAGGTGTTTACCCTGAATGGAACAAGCACACAGACTGAGTTAAAGCCTAGATTTCATAAATAAGTTTTGCAAACAAACAAAATGAAAATGTGCTTCTTTAGGAATAAAGGGAAGGACTGGAGAAATCAGAGACCTGGCTCTTGTGTGTTACACCAGCTGCCAAAACCCTATTCTTGTTGATAACATAGCCATAGTCAAAAGGCGAAAACTTTATAGAAATGACTGATCTGGCAATCTTACCATCAGGATTTCTTTTTCCCACCAACAATTCGACAATATTTCCAATGCCAGTAAGTGATAAATTATTATGGAACAAAACAGCATTTCACACATACCCAGACTGAGTATGTTGATTCTGGTTTTGAAAACTTTTATTTTCTGCCAGTGCACAAATATATAGGTTATACAGTGACAGCACAGTAGATGTGTACATAATCAAGCACATAAATATATATCTTTCAACTCTTTCCCATTTTAGATCTAAATTTGAAATCATTCCACCCAAACCTAGTGTTCAGATATTTCTGTATTGTGAATTATTTACAATGCGGAACGCAGAGTCAAGAAACAGATAAAAGAAAATGACACTTAACTAAAGGGAAATAATACCACCTCATTGAATACTTTCATCTTTTTTTTTTTTTTTGCTTGTTTTTTTAATTATGGTACGTGCATATGTGTCAAAACATTTGCCATTTTAACGCTCTTCACATGTTGTCTATTGTTTTTATTCAATGCCCCCTAAATAGTCAGGAGGGAAGGATATATCATAGGACAAGAGTCATTGAGAAGAACCCAGAAGTCTGCTCATTCTTCCCCAGCTGCTCATGTGATCTTGAACAAACTATTTGATCTTCCTTTTGCTGGATTTTCATTTGTAAAAGATAGAGTGATAGAGAATATAGCGAATAAAGAAATTTGGGACTTTCAAATGAACAAGGCTACACGCAAGCTATGATTGGTATTATCACCAAAACTTTCATCACATACAGGAAGGATATTTAAATATGTTAACCCTGATCAACAAAGCAACCCTTTGGGCCACATACTGATGAAACTTTGTATTAAAACATACCACCTTTTCCGTGATCTTGTATAAACGAACAGCTTTTCTTTGAGCACGTTTAACATGTTATTAATCTCTGAATTACTTCTGCTGCCATTTTCCATTCTCTGTCAAGTTAGTAATGGTCATTCTAGCTCATTATCTATAATTTGCTGCTGCAATAAATCCAAGGCATATAAATGAGCAGGGACATCTTGCATCTACTTTATCCACACCAGGCTTGAACGTTTTCCCATCATCCTCCCCCTCCTCCCCAAGAAGCACTGGAGATGCCTCCCCAAATACTCAGTCTCGCACACAGTCAGCCATAGTCCAAAGCTGACAATTCTTCCTACAGAAGCAAAACATACATTAAGCTGCAAACATGCCTGCATTTACCTATAAGCAGAACAGGTGAGAGGAGAGGGGATTGGAAAGCAATGGGTTAGCAATAGCAAATGCTCCACCAAAGGCCTAGAACAATACGCTCGAGGTTTGAAAACAATGTAAAATGTAAATGCGAGCTATAACAAGCACAAAGTGGCAGCCCACATGTGGATGGATGCCTGCCAGCAGTCATTACAGAGGGCTAAGCCCATTCCATGTAATTGCTGCCTGCATTCATCACAGACAGGAATAGCGGGGATGCTTCTGAGTGACCGATGACAAGCTCTCCTAAAAGAACTATTTAATTGCTTTTAGAGAATCATCCCCCTTGTTGAACATATTGTTCAAATATATGGGAATTTGGGGAATTATTTAATACCAAATGAACTGAAATCAGCTAATTAGATGAACTCTCACACTCATTGTGAATGGCAAGACTCCTTTCGGTAATAACTTAAACGGCATTAGAGTCCGAGGCAGTGCATATTGAGTATCACCCAGAGCATGGGATGGGAGCTTTGCGTTAAGCAGGCATTGGGTATTTCCATAAGTGCAAAGTAAGTAAATCAAGATTTACATCTAATCCGCCTCACATGAAAATAGTGTGAGCGGGCATAGGGTCTCTGGTGAAGGAACAAAACTTAATCTCTTGGTTTTTTTTTTCCATGATTAATAATAATTTACCCTTTTCTGCCACCTTCTATCTGTGGCAATCAGACAGCTTTACAAATACTAATTAAAACTCTTCACACACCTACGGAGGTAGGTGTTACCAGCATAAGGTCACAGAGAAGTCAATCAAAGGGATGAGAGCAAAATAACCCTAAATTTCTGACTCACAGGCTCCTGCTTTCCACAGCCAGATTGAAATTTCCTTCTCTGTCTCCCCTAGGAGATTTCTGAACAAATTGTCGGCTCTGGTGACATTCTAAGGAAAGAAGGGGGGTAGTGGTGGGGGTATAGTCCAAGAGTAGCCATGGCTACAGATTCAGGACGTTTGAGGACAGAGGACTGGGGGGACACACGTTTAATCTGTTATGGGCAAACATGAAGATTCATAAGGAAAATATAGATGGCATTTACATTTTTCTATATGATATAACACATGACAAGGAAGTGGTCATGCTCCTGCTGGGGGGAGAAAAAAAAAGCCAACAAAATTTTCTAAATTACTGTGAGCTAAGAACAACTGTTATTAGCTCATGTCATCAGAAGGGACCAGTCCCTGGAGAAGGACATCATGTTTGGTAAAGTAGAGGGTCAGTGAAAAAGAGGAAGACCCTCAACAAGATGGACTGACACAGTGGCTGCAACGATGGGCTAAAGCATAACGATTGTGAGGAAGGCGTAGGACCAGGCAGCGTTTCGTTCTGTTGTACATGGGGTCACTATGAGTCGGAACCGACTTGATAACACCTAATGACAACAACAACAATAACGACTGTGAACTAATAACAGCAGCAATTTCAGGACCATGATATGAACCATATCAGTGCATCATCACACACCCTAGTGTGGACTGTAGATTCAGAAACTTGTTGCATGGGACTTTTGCTACCTATCTTTTTCATAGCACGCATTCTCTCCCTTCTCCCTTTTCCTCTTTCTTTCCCTCTCTCTCTCTCTCTCTCTCTCTCTACAGAATCTGGGTGGCACAAGATGTTTGCAATTGGTAGCTAACCTAAAAGCTGGTGATTTGAGCCCACTCAGAGACTTGGCAGAAGAAAGGCCTGGCAAACTGCTTCTGTAAAGATATATACGTATATGCGCACATATACACATATACATATATTTGTAAATAGAGTTTAAATGCTATGCATGTTTATGGATATAAAAAGATCAATAATTGAAGAGCCTGGTCTGTATAATCAGGTAGCTTGACGAGCAACTGTGTGGAAACATGGCTGTGAAATCAAATATCTGCTCACATGGTGTAGCTGAGGAAAACTCTGCCAGCTTTGCAGTTTTGACCCCTGGAACCTCCAAAGATGCGTGGTAGGAAAGAGCGCACATAAAACCACAGGAGCACTGCACCAGGTAATCGGGTAATACAGAAAGACCCACAGTGATGAGAAATGGAAACCAAGTCCATCTCCAAAGAACACAAGAAGCAGGTAAAAGAACACTCCTATATTCTCACTTCTGTTCTTACTGTGCTCTTCATGGCATCACCCCAATACCACGACCTTTCTATGATCTTTTCTCTGCCATGAAAACCAGACAGTGTGACAGAGTGCAAAGTTCATGGCTTTGGAGACGGACAGTCTGGGTGTAAATCCCGGCTCCATATCATGTAGCATGCTAGCAAGGGGACCTCTGACAGTTTAGTTAACTTTTTAAGTCTCACGTTGCTCAGATGCAAAATAATGCCTACTCTGGGATTCTTTGGAGAGTTAACAGAAATACAGCTTAAGAAGCACCTAATATCGCGCACTCAGCAAGTGGACGTTCTGCCTCCCTAACCCCAAACACCCGCCTTCCCTGCCTTCTTAGGGGCCTCATTTCTATAGGAACTCTGCTTTCTGAAATGACCAATTTATTCAATAAATTGGCACTGTATCAGTATATCCTTTAACAAAATTTTGTGCACTATAGGAATTTAAGGCACAATGGCAATACTACCGGTCTCCCTGCTTTCATCCTTGCCTCTCACAATCAGTCCTTAAGACAGCAGAGTAATCCCACAAAAAATGCCAGCCTGTTCCCTCCTCAAGCAATAGCTGCTGTTCCTGCTACTCTGGAGTGCTCTGGGCTGCCCGGAAGTGTTCCTTCGGACACCCACATAATTGGCTCCCTCTTGCACTTCATGTCTTTGCTCAAATCACACCTACTAATGAGGCTTTATAAGGAGCCCTGGTGGCACCATGGTTAAGTACTCAGCTGCTGACCTTTCTAAACAAAAGGTCAGAGGTTCGAACCCACCAGCTGCTCTGAGGGAGAAAAGACCGGCAATTCGCTCCCTTAAAGATTATAACCTAGGAAAAGCTATGGGGCAAGTCTACTCTGTCCTATAGGGCTGCCATATGTCAGAATTGACTCTATGGCAAACAACTACAACGAGCCTTTCCTTGACCACCCACATGTAATTGCAACATTCCCCACCCCAATAGCTGATCTTGCTTTTACTTTTTTTTCTCCTCAACACTTACATGCCTTCTAATATATTATGTCATTTGCTTACTCATTTTTTGTCTCCTGCCAAGTAGAATGTAGGCTCCACAGGGCAGTGATTCTTGTCTGTTTTGTTCATTGCTGTATCCCCAGTACCTAATATATGCTGGTTATAAGCATGCAGAAACATTTGTTGGAAAGGACATAAGAGCTAGCTTGAAGCAGTGCCTGCTGATCAAATCTGAAGCATTCTGAGCATCGAATAAATAATG